GAGAGTGCAGGAGAGGTTAAACAATATTATTTAAGATCCATGACTTCTTTAGGACAATGGCAGCAGCTGTTCATGAAGGATTAAAACATGACTATTGGAGAGCTGTCAAAGAAAGCGGGTAAAGATACATAGCAGAACATACAACTTTGATCAAAGTGAAAGCCTGTACGGCCCTTCAGCTTCGCATGGAGGATTTCAGAAGTGTGCTGCTCTTGTTAACATTACATCGCAGTGGTAACAAGAAGAGGACATGCAGCAAAAACAGACCTGCAGAAATTCAAAGGGGGCTTAGCAGTTTCTGCAGGTCAGAAGAATATGTTATTATTCATGCATGACCACAGCACTATTTGCCTCTGAAAGCACTGACTGATGCAAGAGAAAACATAGACATAACTATTGAAAACTCAACCAGAACTAATGTGATCTACAGGACACTAATCAACTAGGCCACAGCTCAGAGGTCTACTCATGGGCTAAACAGGCCTCCAGTCAATGCAGGGAGGTCTGACAGTGGTAGTGGGATAAGGGCTTCATACTGTAAGTTCCTTGCTACACTGGCATACCTAATATATACATGGCACACCTAATATACACATGGATAGCACTTCAGCCAGGTTGAGGCCCGGCCTCCTTTTTTGAAGGCAGAGTTTTGCCCTCAAAAGAAATAAGGAGAACAAATCTGATTAATTGGATCTTTTCCTGATTTGCACCTGCAGTCAGGTAAGTGTGAAGTGCAAGTACCACAGACAAGTTTGAAGCTGCAATTGGGGAAACAAAACAAACCATGTTAGTTGTAAAGTTAAAACTATAGATTACTCAGTGGAACTTCTCACTTGAATAAAGCTACTCACACATGGAAGTATTTTCAGAACTGGGCCCTCAGATATTCTTATGCATGATTTAGAATTAGTTGGTGCATGGAAAAGCAGTCCGTCAAAATAACCTCCTTATGGCTTAGTTTCTAAAGGAGTAAGTATCTTTACAGCTTTGGTTGTCCCCAGGTGGATCATGCAGGCATAGTTTTTAGTTTGTTATGGGGTTTTTTGAAAAGCCAGGAACTGGCTTGTGTGTCATCAATTACCATAGGCACTCCCTTCGGACATGGGTAGTGAAGCAATTGTGTAGGTAACTATTACCATGTTCGCAAGAGGCACATTATGATGAGTTAAAGACAGATCTTGATTTTTTTGAGTTTGTTAACAATATATATATAAACATGTATCTTTATGTGTGTGTGTGTGTGTGTGTATATATATATATATATATATATATATATATATTCTACTCATACACACATGCATACATGTATGTGAAAATATACATTTATATGCTGTGTTGTAGCTGTGCTGGTTCCAGGATATTAGAGAGACAAGGTGGGTGAGGTAATATCTTTTATTGGACTAACTTCTGATGGTGAAAGAAACAAACATTTGAACTCACACAGAAAAGAAGAAGAAGAGCTCTGTATAAGCTTGAAAGCGTGTCTCGCTCACCCAACAGAAGTTGGTCGAATAAAAGATATTACTCCATCCACCTTGTCTCTCTCTATTTCTACATAGCATTTAAATTCAGAATAACAGTCTTTAGAAGCAGTCTGAAGAAGTGTCTTTATCTCTCGAATATATACTCTTAGAATGCAGCTCAGGCTCTGGAGAAAACTTAAGATATTTTCTCAGTGATTTCAGACAAACCCTACAGAGGTAGGGGAAAAATCCTTTTTGATAAACACAGAGCCACTGTTGCAGTTCATTTCCACTCTCCTCCATTCCTGGGCCCCTCTCTGAGCTGTCATTGCCAAATTAACAACCAGAGTGAGACTCTGCAAATGGAAGAATTCCAAACTCCATCCTGCAATCTAATGTCCTTGGGGCACAGCAGTCTGCTAAATCTCAAAACTTTTAATTCTGTTTGACCTGCTGTCCTGTCACTTTGACACCTGCTCACAAAGATGAAATGGACCCTTTTAGCACTGACTGGCTCCTGCTACATTGCAATGTAAAAATGACACAAAAACTGTTGCTATGATTACTCATTCTACACCAAAGCCTCTAAAAACATGAAATGGAAGCAGAGACCTAACTATCATAGATTAACAATGATCTTGCTGTATCTGTGCTTCCCTGCCAATTGAATCCATCCCAGGTTGTCAGTAGCTCTGAGTTAATTTCTTGGCTTTTTGGTAGCACCCTGTGTGAAATGAGTTTGGTAGTCTAAAACCAGTTATAACTAGCCAAGTAGCCACATCACAAAAAATATCTGCCCTGTTTTTTTATTACCATAGTGTATAACTAAGATCCCTAGTCTTGAACCAAAACCCCATTGTGCCAGGTGCCGTACAAATACAGAATCCCAGTTGGTACCCTCTTTGACATCCTCAGTAGAGAGACCAATAATCGAATGGTCCCAGACACTGAACTGTCATTAAACTTTTACACAGATGTGGTCACAGTTGGAGCACATTGGGAGGGACATGCTGTATATCTGCAGTAAATCGAAGACTTCAATCTCAAGCGCTCTGACTCCATCACTTTTAGGTTTATTAAATTAACTTTAAAATTAACGTGTTTCAGAATGATTTTTTTCTAAATTAAAAAAATCTGGAGTACGTTATTTCACCAGATTCTAAAAACTTTATGTTAGGTCAGATTTCAGAAATGACATGCTGGGGTGGATATAGTTCCTTTAAACAATTGCACGGCAAATGAATTTTGTAGAGCTGGTTGAGATTATTTGAACAAAATACTTCTTTTCGTCAGAAAAAGCCGATTCCTCGAAATAGAAACGTTTCAGGGAAAAGGGTTAGTTGCAATTAGAAAGGCTTCTCAGGGCCAGGATGGAATTTCTGGTCTGGAAAGTGTGTGTGTGGCGGGGAACTGACCCACCCCAGAATAGGTTGGCAGTTAGGGCCACTCACCTAAGATGCAGGCAATCCGATTTCAAGTCTCGGCTCTACCTGATTCAGAGCAATGATTTTAAGCTGGGTCTCCTACATCCCAAGTGAGTGTCCTAACCATCAAGCTATTCTGGTGCAGATCTTTCTCCTTTCTCATTTTCTCAAAAGGTCTTGGGTTTGTCCCCATGTGGAACAGGAAACTTTTTGAAATCTTGAAACCTTTACCCACGCAGCACTAGAATTTTGTGATAGACTGATCCATCACCGAGTCATCTGGTAGGTACCCCCTATAGCTCTGGAATAGCAACACCAATACAATAGAGAGGAAAATCAGCAGAGCTGCCAGCAAAGTGTTTTGAATTGGCAGATTTTGAAAGTTTGTCTTTTATCGATAGATATCTGTAGATATCAGTGCTCAAGTCACAAGTCAGATGAATGTAGTAGTCTCATATAAGCCCTCAATGGGCATTATTTATCCACTTCAAAAGATCGCCATATAATTCAACACTACTGAGATTCTCTGACTACATCAAATGTTCTTCTTTAAGAGGACCAGCAGTCCTCCTAAAGTGGGCTGTAGTCCACGAAAGCTTATGCTCTAATAAATTTGTTAGTCTCTAAGGTGCCACAAGTACTCCTGTTCTTCTTTCAGCAGATGAGGGAATTTTTGCACATGAACACTGAGGTGCATTGCCACAGCAGCTGTGTCAGAATATGCAGTAAGAAGAAGAACAGGAGTACTTGTGGCACCTTAGAGACTAACAAATTTATTAGAGCATAAGCTTTCGTGGGCTACAGCCCACTTCTTCGGATGCATATAGAATGGAACATATATTG